ACAATCATTTTGGTTTGTTTATTTAAAAGGAGCTCAGTCACGGTATTTTAAGTTATTTTGGCCAGGAATGAAACTACTTTTAAATTAAAAAAAAAATTAAAATTCTAGTGTACTAGGAAAAACACAAAGGAGATTATCATAGTAATAAACTATAAGAGAACAAGGATGGTTAAGGAGGCAGAGGATTAACACGGATTACAAACGACGAACATTTAGGGTAAATCTTTCAAGATGCGTAAACCGTGACTTAGCTCCTTTAAACGTTCAGATCGAGGTATTTTACCGCTGGTGATGCGAGAGTTTGCGTACACAGACTGACTGACTTGTCTGTCTGTTTCAGGAATCGACGCCTTGTCGTAAAACTGAGACCAAGGAATGCCAGACCGACGTACAGTTAAACGAGGAAGATAAAGAAAAGATAAAACAGTTAGAAGAACAGGTTCGTCAAAAAGACGAAGAGCTTGATTCGCTGACATCAGACCTAAAGTGCGAGCGAGAGCGAGCGAAACAGCTGGTGGAAGGAGTAAAACGGAAGAAAGAGGAGCAAGACCAACGAGTGTTGCGTGACAAGTCTGTCAGCGAACAAAAGGAAACGTCCGAGAACTGCAGCAGTAATAGCGCAACTATCGACCTGTCCATGACAAGGGACCAGTCCAGTGTTATTAAAATGTTACAGGACGCGCTTGAACGCGAGCGTCAAGAGAAAAAAGAACTCATTGAGAAAGTCACGCGAGATTCGCAAAAGAACCGTGAGCGTGACATACAGCAAGCCGTGAAAAGAGCCGTGAACAAGGAAAGATTGGAGCGAGAGCGGATCACGGACGAGGCAGTGAAGAAAGCGGTGGAGAAATGTAAACAGGACAGAGAAAGACATACACAGAAAGCGCTGCAGATGGCCAAGGAGGAGGCTGAGAAATCGGTGCAGGAGGCAGTGAGCCTGGCCAAGAAGAAACAATGGTGCGCTAATTGTCGGGCGGAGGCTTTTTATCCGTGTTGTTGGAACACAAGTTATTGTACTTTGGAGTGTCAGAAGACTCACTGGTGCACGCACAGGTTCCATTGCCTGAGGGTCGCGTGTAACTGCAACAGAGATGGCCCTATGACGCGGTCGTGACGTCACAAAGTCGGTTTCATGGACCACTGTCTCGACAGTTTCGCGTCAGACGTTACCATGGTTATGCGCGGGGAATTCTGGGAGTTGCAGTAAATCGCTTTATTTGTGATAATGGCGATGTAACATGGTTTGTTTGTACAGCGGTTATTTCATGCCTTAGAGCCTGTTCACACTGACTAATCTTTTTGAGTTAAATCGAGTACTAAATTTTGCAACCTAGTGCAACCCCGATATAACCAGTAAACTTCATTAACATCGATGATCGAGGCACGCTTATAGCGAACGCCGAATTTCGGTCCCAGAAAGAAGGAACCAGGACCTCAACAGACAAGGGAATTAGTTGATGACAGCTATTTTTAGTTCTGGATAACAGAAAGTTATCGATAACTAAATATCTAATTCGTGACTTTGCGGCAACTTATCTTGTCTGTCATCATCAGATAGTCGTCCACTATAACGCCAAACCCTGAACGCTGACATGCCCAGCTAACACTACTTACCAAACTTTCGTGTTAAAAACACACTACCAATCGATAGCGTTAGCTTCTAATTAGTGGAGGCCCTGGGTCTCTCCTTCGCAGCTGTCACAGCGATTCCCTGTGCGAGACCCATTAACATCTGTGAAGGAAATTGCAGACATATTTCCAGTAAATTGGAGTTCAGCTTACAAGTCGTTCAAAATAGGTCTTGCCACGCTGTTTGTTGTATCAAGGTTGCACTCAAATCGCTTGGAGCTTAACGTTTCAGCGGTTGCTGCATGGTAAATTACTTTCAGCCAATCAGGTGCTCATTTATGGCTCCCATGGTTGTTTTCAGTCATTGTAAAATATTCTTATAGTTATGTCTAAAACAGTTTGAATCTTAACCTCCGAGGGTAACTTTTACGTAATATTTTTTTATGTTTTTTTAAGTAAAGTAATGTAAAGTCCTTCATTTAAAACTATTATCGTTTAAGCACTACATGCTTGAGGGGTCGTGTATCTAATTAATTATCTAATTATCTAATTACCTACTGATAAAACGAATGTTGTTTTGTTTGTTTGTTTTGTGTATCCGGTTTTCATTTATACAGTTTTATCGCAATTCAAACTACTTTGGTGTTCAAGCGAACCGATGTCATTTTTTTCCTTGGTGACGCTTTATAATTCATTCTTTCTCTCTTTAATTCGTATGGCTTTTGTTGAAGGATTCCAATTGGCAAGTGTAAATATTGGTACTATACTGTGTATTGTTTCAGTTTTTCCGAGACCTTTCTCGGCTGGTCAGCCTGTTTAGGTGAGGTTGCAAATAAGAACTTTTCTGAACACCCACATAGAAATTTAGGCAAACATCTCTGTGCTGAGAAAGTGCGTAGTTTAGTTTATTTTCCATATTTTTAGACGGATTGTACATAAATTGTTTTGCAAGCGCATCAAATTCTTTGCCCTTCAGCGACAGTTGGAGCTGTTATGTTGTGGGCACCCTTTTGTTTTGAACGAGAAATCATTTTGACATTAAAAATTTATCAATAGTTTCTCAAGCATAGGGTTGTGGTTTCAAGTAATGTGCCAACCCCGAGTGTCAAAAAAAAGGAAAAGAACTCTCCGTTGATCCCTGAAACGTTTTTGCAACCGTGATAATGAGCTTTCGTTTTTCTACGAAATCGTTGTATGTCCAAATATCTATTTTTATGATCCCATCGAAAGCAGAGATGTGTGTAAATATTCTTAACACGACGTACTGTAAGTGCGTTCCATAAAATTATGACAAAATCTAATGTAGGGGCGACAATCGATTAACGTAAAACGTATGTATTTTGATACAAGATCAGATACAAATGCAGTATTTTTAAGATCATTATTAAACATGGTTAACTAAATAGGTAGCAATTGTTTTCTATCCAACCGAAATGTACAGTTGTTGTAGCCTTTCTGTCCTAGTATCCTTGCAGGTCAGTTTTACCGTGCAAGTTCAGTTGCAAGAGTGCGTTCAGATCATCGAAAAATCAGTAACCTTTTGTCTCAGTGACCTGAATTGTGAGATTGTAAACACTGATAACTTTACCATGAACTGGAAACGAACTAAGTTGTGGAGTTTTGTTATGTTGTGAATGACTTTGTATAGTTCGTAGTGATTAAACCAATCCTGTGTTTGGGACATCAAAGGTTGTGGTGACTTGTTGTTGTTACCGTAGGTTAGTTGAATCAAAGTCAGTGTTAAATGGCCACATACTCTTGCAAGGAGACACATTGATCTATAGTTACCCTGCACCAGATCACAAAGTAGTGATGTACCACAAAAAGAGAACTTATTTTTTTCATTTAAACAATGCGAATTGGTACAGGACTGGGAATCATCTACAACCTTTGATGTCATTTTCTGTTCACTGCACATTTTTGTTATCAGGATCATGAACACGCCGTAACTTCATACAAACATACCAAAGTACAATAGTTAGTTTGTTATCTGAAATTGCACAGATATTTGTTTAAAAGCTGTAATTCAGAAGAGAGATAAGAAATACCGTGCGTTTGTTTAAGGTCTGTCCGACTCCTGTTCGACGACCGAATAAGGGTCGTCGGGACGTTGTCAGCTTGAGACTTACTGAGCTCACGGGAATTGCGGGCTCAGCTTATTGTCGAAAACCTTGTGCGGTTCCCTTTCGCACGAAGAATTATCGAGTGAAATAAGCAATTGGATTAAAACAATTTTTGTATAAGGAAGTGTAGGTTTCTAGGCATAAATTTTGACTTGAATTTAATGTAAGCTAATATACACATGGTGCTTCACCCAGCAAAAATAGTAGCGAAGTTTTAAGTTTTGAAATCTTAGTATTTATAAGTAGTATTTATTATTGGTAGTATGAATATACACTTCGTAAGAATCGCTGCTTGAGCGTTTGGCTTGGCTCTATATCTTTCAGTCCTATTTTCGAAGTTCGACGTCACAAGCGATCTTTTTGTTTTAACCAGTCATTGTTGATGTCATCTTTGGCCAATCAGGTCCCACTTTGAAAACACGTGACACGGCTAAAGTGGCTGTCTTGTACTTGCCGTGGGCTTATTGTTCCACGTTTTTCCTCGCTTGACACTGTCTCACTAGTTCTGGTTGACTGATGGTGTGATTACTTCGTTAGTCATCAGATATCGTAGTAGCATGAGTTCTGCAGGAGCCTGCCAAGCCATCAAGTAGCTGGGTAATACGTAGAGATTGGTTGCTGTTTGCAGTGAATAAAGTTAGCCAACAAAATTATATTTGTTACTGGGTTATGCTTGTGGTTCTTTTGTCTGCAGAAAAGGGGATTTGCCAGGCTATTTTTCTGAATCACTTCGGGCGGGGCGCCCCTCCCTCATTGATACGTCGCTGATTGCTTTTACCCCTGGTCTCCTACGGGGACCCATTATGGGGTAGGGGAGTTGGTGGTATTTAAGAGGCGAACGCAACAAAATAGCAACCTTTGAAGTGCTGTTTTGACCGAATTGATTAACAAAGCAAAAGTTGATAACCGTGCCGGACTGTTCCACCAGCATGCCTGAAGTGGTGTCTCTGGGCAGGTCCATGACCACTCCTCCAATATTATGACCGACCCAGTAGCTTGCGCACGAGTACTTTGTTTAGGCCGCGCTTGCTTCGCTGTTCACGAGAATAAATTAAACTATTTCGACGATGTTACGCTTTTTCAATTTTTTCATTCATGTTTCACTGCATTATTTATCACGCCAAATTTAGCACACATGCGAAGTTTCATAAGAATCCGTACCGCGTTGCAAACTCGAAAAAATCCCAAACTTCCTAGACAGTTGTGGGACTGGTACCTAATGAGGCTGGACGTCCAAATCAAAGATGGCGTTCCACGCACCAAATTTAGTACAACCCTAGATTTGGACAGTTTTAGAGCGCCAAACGTTATTTCATATCCGTTATCAGTGCTGTTGTTGCAAAGAACGGGAAACTTGATGACATAGTAGTTAAAACTTTGAAGAAAAGATGTTGTTCAAGTGTGTCTTTCAGACATCATGTAGAAGATCTTTTGGTCTGACTCTGAATTTAAGTGCACTGCAACTTGTAGCGCGTTCTTCTCGGGATCCATCATCCTTTACGTCCATCTCAGACACTTTTTCACGTTCATTTTCTGCTGTTCATTCAATGGAGGCATGGAGTATTGACGAATATGGCTCCAACGACTTATTGGAACTCAGAAGGCAGCCATTGCCGAGGCTTCGAAAGTCAACAGACATTTTAGTTCGTGTGCACGCGGCATCTGTTAATCCGATAGATTTCAGAATGCGAAGCGGTTATGGAAAAACTTTGTTGAATTTGTGGCGTAAGCTGGAAAAGGTTGACGAATTTCCACTCATTTTAGGAAGAGATTTCTCCGGGGAAGTGGTGAAAACCGGAAGACTGGCAAGAAGATATAAAGAAGGGGATCAGGTGAGGTAGTAGATTTTATTTTTATACCATGCTATAGAAAATACAGCCAATCAGAAAACAGGATAGCCGTGGTATACTCGGTGCTATTACGGCTAATCTTCCCATTTGGCACTGCATTACTTTTGTTGGCCACTGTATTTTCTATGGGAATATGGTATAGAAAAAGTTATGTAACACTTTCTCATGGTAGGTCATGTAATAGCTGTATTGTTTCTTGTATTTTCAGAAAAGACAAGTGACTCCATGGTATACCATTCAAAAGAATTGCATAACTTATTATATTAAACAGAAAACTGGTTCATGATGAAAAGGATTTTGTAAAATTATTATTTAATGATTGTCTCACACACTGATTACAGTACTGTTATGATGAAAAGGATAATTCTGATAATTTGATGCAAACATGCCAGTCCATTGCAAAGCTACGTCCCCCTCCCGAGTGTCAAATTCTCTGGTACCCAGTTATACACCCAGCTGGAGAGAGGTACTGGGAGTGTATGTAAGTGTATTGTGTAAGAACACAACATTATAGCCCACCACCAAGCCTTGGTTTGAAAATGCAAATTGCCAATTTTATCATGAACAAATTCTCAAAGCAGTAAAGATGAAAAGAATACCCACATGAAGACAATGCAAAGCCCTCTAGCATGAAGTGACTAGGAGTATTAATTTTTTCTAATCCCTCCTGGATGGGATGCTGGTCCATCACAGGGTTACCCCCAGCATTCAATTTGCCAGTACCCATTTATACACCTGGGTGGAGAGAGGCACTGTGAGAGTAAAGTGTCTTGCCCAAGAACACAACACAATGTCCCCGGCCAGGGCTTNGATAGCTGTCTTGCTCAATAGTACCAATGACACTATGTTTTTAATCAGTTGCTGAAAGCCTGGGGAGCTTATGTTGCCAGCACTTGTTCACCTGATGCTGTAGATCTTGTTGCTGGTCTTGGAGCAGATCTGGTGGTTGATTACAGTGCAGTTAATGCAAAGGAAGAACTGAAAACAGCTGGAGGGTAAGAGCATTACTAGTTAGTGATATTATCATTTCCACCCATTATGTAGTGGAGATGGGATGGGGGGAACCCAGGGGGGAAAGTGGGTGGGGATTATACAGTGGGAAAAGAGAGGACCAGAAGTGGGATTTCAATTCCAAGATGTTAGGGACCAGAAGAAATAGGGAAGAACTAATTGCCAAATTGTAAAAAGGCAAAGCAAAAAAGGGTTCAGCTACTTAACAAAGGGGAGAACTCGCAGTAAGAATAAGCATGTATTGTCAGTTTCTGGATACTTGTCTTTATAGATCAGACTTGATACAGTGACTTTTCATTGTTAAATATGATTTGCTTTCAGTTTTGATATAATCCTTGATCCATTTGGAGGAGAAATCAGAGAAAGATATGCCAGTCTGTTATCCAAATGGAAAGGATCAATGTTTGTGACACTCGCACCGCCTGTTCTTGGTGATACTGACAAGTTGGGCGCCAGTCTTGGACTGGTGTCTGCTGGACAAAATCTTGCTTCAGCTGCTGCTCAAGAGGTTACTTAATATTATATGCTTCATCTAAATTTCATAAGAGTAAATTAGTGGTACTTATTATGTATAAAAGCTGCATGATAAAGAGAGTAACTATATAAATTTAGCAGTAGATGTAAAATATTAGTATTATCAAATGTAATTTATAGTATTGTCATGAAACACCACTAGCATTAATTAAATTCGTCACTGTTTTTATTGATCTCTTAAGAATTTCTCTTTGGGTAAGAGAGTTTCAATTTATGTATTCTTGGCTGAAGTTTGTTCATAACTTAACATATTAAAAATCATTTCTTACAATAAAATGCACTTCAATGCATTTTCAAGTGATGTAGGACAGATTGGAAGACAGTCTTGCTGAACACTGTTCTAGGCTCCACATGACAAATTGGCCCTAAACCTTTAATGCTGATTATTTATAGTAAATTATATGATCAGTGGCAACATGTAGTCTTAACATTAAGCTCATCCACATTATTATAACTTAGAAAAATATCATTTCACCTCAGGATACAAAATGTACCTTGTGGATTTATGTTCACTGTTAATTGTTGATTTTAATATTATGATTTTGTCTACAGGCTCTGTGTAGTGGTAGTTTGGTTTCCTGGGGTTTCTTTAGCCCTAATGGTGCAGCCCTGGACCACATCCGATCTCTCTGTCAGTCTGGCATGGTATGCATTTTCTGTTTCAAATCATTTGTCCTATGGGTGCAGATTATATTGAGTAATTTGTTCTATAGCTCTTGGCTCTTGGGGAAGATACAGCTAGAAGCGTGCACAAAAGCAAACGATGACCTTGAAAACGACACTAGCAATGTTTTGAGTCAATGTCGTCTAAAAATACAATGTAATTTTTCCCTAAATTATATTACAATCATTTCAGATGCCTGAGAGTGTCATACTACATATCAAGTTTTCTTTGCAGTTATTTCTCTAAAATACTTTGCTTCTAGCTACTGCAAAATGTAACATGAACCAATGAAATAACACACGGTTAGGCATAAATGCAGTGAAGATTGGCCCATCATCTCTCTTTTACGGGCACGGTGACCCATCTTTTTTATGGCACGTTTCAAAACAGTGCTTGGTAGGGAACTTTTAGGGAATGTCAAGGTTGAATATAAGAGAAAGAAAGGGCATTGCATTTCATCTCTTTACCATCTCTTTTTTTTCTTTTTATGTCTAGATAAAACCTTTTGTTCAGGAAGTGTTTCCATTCTCTAAGACTAATGAAGCTTATGCTAAACTTGAGAGCGGTCATGCAAGAGGAAAAATAGTGATCAGTATGGATTGTAAAGAATCTACCAAAGAGGAACATTCAGTTTGACATCTCTGGACATAGAAGATACTACCTCCACGAACAGTCATGTTTCCTCCATGAGGAATATGCTAGTTAGTCAACAAACAAGCAGCACGATAAAACCTATCTACAACCACCCAAAATCTTAGTGCAAACGAACATGAGGGAAGGTCACATAAAGTCGCAAAAAGATGATCATAAGTACAAACCCATTCTGAATCTTACTCATGGTATTATGGTCACTGAGAAGAAAAACTATTTTTCGTTGGTGGTTTTGTGCCAAAGCTGTGTTAAAATGGTTATCTTCAAATGCCACCACAGGAACTTATCTGGTTAAAATTCTAACAAATTTCAATAGTTTCTTTTAATGTCAGTGATTAGATTAGTAAACAAAAATGTTCAAGTGGTGTTTTTCAGTGAAGATAGCTGGACATGATGATATCCGATTTGTGTGATTGTAGCCTGTGCAGCAAGCGTTCCATTACACAGAGCTTTTCCCCAACCTGGGTGCACGCAAGTTGGAGCGAGAGCTCCCTGCTTTGCCAATATTTTAAATCTCACTCCAATTGCCTGCAGCTAGAATAGGGAAAAAGCTCTTTGCAGGCTAGTGTGATTGTGGTTTTATTTGATAGTTGTTGCTGTCACTGTGATCATAATTTTGGTGTGGTGTTCACTAGTGCATAAACAGCATTATAATGCAAACACAGTATGTGTAGTTCCAGAAAATATCCATACCTCCCCCACAGAAGAGATTTTTTCTAACACCTCCCCACCCCTCTGGAAATTCCATTTAAGACTCATACATTTCTTTAACTTTTGGCCTTCCAGAACCCCCCATCCCCCAGGAAATTCTAATCCCTTCTGTAGGGGGAGTATGGATATTTTCTGGAACTGCACAATGCAGTCCATAAGTAGCACTTTTAAGGCAATTTTCCTAACCAAAGGTGCTTATAATATTATAAATATTCTTTAGACCTCTTGAGTATTTTATATGCAACATATTGCAAATCAAATACAAGATACAGCAAGTCTGGCAAACTTATATTTTTATTATTAACAGTTCAGGCATCATGTACCAAAATTGACAGGCACATGGAAAACCTCATTTGAGAACCCAGTCATGTTTGTATAAAAAAACTAACAGTTCACAAGTGCAAGCAGTGATAAATAACATGTTTGCAAACTTCTTTTCTATCTACATGGAAATCCACACTTCCGTTGCAAAGCTTATAGCGCTTTAAGCTTTCCACTGAATTATAACACAGCACTTAACAAAACAGTTCACAAGTGCAAGCAGTGATGAATGACATGTTTGCAAACTTCTCTTCTATCTACTTGCAAATCCACACTTCTGTTGCAAAGCTTATAGCGCTTCAAGCTTTCCACTGAATTGTAACACAACACCTAATAAAACCAATATTTCACAAGTGCAAGCAGTGATGAATAACATGTTTACAAACGTCTCTTCGATCTACTTGCAAATCCACACATCTGTTGCAAAGCTTATAACGCTTCAAGCTTTCCACTTTCAAGCTTTCCACTGAACACCTAACAAAACAGTTCACAAGTGCAAGCAGAGATGAATAACATGTTTGCAAACTTCTCTTCTATCTACTTGCAAATCCACACGTCTGTTGCAAAGCTTATAACGCCTCAAGCTTTCCACTGAATTCTAACACAACACCTAACAAAA